TTAGGCTCAATTCGAGTACCATTATACGCTTTAAAAATTATATTCGTCTTTTTAAGTTCTGCAGTTTTAAAATATTTACGAAAAGTAGCCAAAGAAATCACACTGTATTCCGACCCAGTGTCCAACTGCATATTTAAGCGAATATTATTTAAAAGCACATCAAAGCAAATCGGACCCTGCTTATTACATGAAATATTAAAGAGAGGTAACTCTTCTTCCGACTCTGTCATAAAATTAATTCTGCCTACTTTGCACATTCTCTTAATATGCCCTCTTCGCTGACATGTATAACACTTATAATTTTTAAATTTACAAACACTAGCGCTGTGGTCCGCGCTCCCACACACTCTGCATTGATACTCCTGGTTCTGCCGCCTCCGTTGCTGTTGACGCTGGGCACTGCTCTGCTTTGCGTTGTCACCGTCCTCTTTGCGCTGCTTTTTCGAGTCTTCACTTCTCCGCTTGACCTTCGACTCACTTTTGCCGTAGTATAACTGCTCACTATTGTCTTCAGCTTTCAGTTTCACCTCGTACTGCTGCCGAATATAATCTGTTGCGTTAGCGATGCTTATTGCTTTTTCCAAAGTTAGGGTATTTTCCTTTTCTAGGAATATTTTGTCTTTGGCTGGACCAGCCTCCAACCCCATGATAAATTTGTCGCGAATCGCCATTTCCAGATGATTGCCAAAAGAACATCCTACCGCTAGTGATCGAACTCTTGCCGCCCAGTCGTTTATTGATTCCGTTGACTTTTTAGTAGACTGATAAAACTTAAATCGCTCTGGAAATTCTGACGCGACTGGCTTAAAATGAGACGACATAGCTACGATGCACTGGCTATATGTAACTGCCACACCATCAAGGCTTAGTGGATTCATAATATTTTTTAAAAGCACGTAGGCCTTTTCCGACAGAGCATTCAGAAAAATTGCTTTTTTTTGCTTCTCATCTTCAATATTATTAGCGATGAAAAATTGGTCGAGTTGACTCTGGAAAACACTCCATATATTTTCCTTGAAATCGAACCGCGGTACACTTCCAAAAATCGACATTGCCCGTTTTTAACTCGTCGCCAATTGTAATAATTGAAACACGCGTTCTTTTGTGTGAACTTCAATGTTAAAATATATATAGCTTTATTGGGTGTATAGAAGCGTAAGTAAAGTGTACCGACAAGGCGGCGGAGAATG